GGAGGGAGGAAAGAGGATTCTACCTCATTTTTGTTTGGTGCTTTCTCCTTATCTATATAGCTCCAAGCGATGATCATCGCACTTTCTTGGCATCAGTGCCAAACAATTAGGGATTCGCAAACGAAAAGGGGCAAGGTAGGGAAAAGTCTGAGCTAGATGAAAACAGAGATATCTGGGGCTGGATTCACGGTTGCAGATCATAATGACCAATATTAATGTTTTATGCCTTATTAAAGACTACATAATGTTCGAAGAGAGAAGCCAGAATAGGAATTAGGCGAAATAGGAACAATTCTCACCCGTTCGTTTTGAGAGAACGAATTCACTCGGATTCACTCATTTATGGAAACCTCCAGTGCAACTTTACCAACTCACTTCTGCACTACTTAGTTTCTGAACTCACTTTTTTGTTTAACTGGCTTATACAACGATAGAGAAAGAAGCAGTTAACTGCATAATGAGGATTTTCACAATTTCGCACTTCAGACATCATAGTCGTAGTTGAAGGTACTCATTGCATACATCAGAGCCAATTCTCACTTAGCTTTTCTTCCTTATGTTCAAATCAAAGCTAAAACTTTTACACGTTCCTTTGTTTTGCAAATTTATACAAGTGGGCGTGCGCAGCCTGGTTATAATTCGTTGCTGCTGAACTGCCATTCTACTGCATTCTAATGCTCGTTACACATTTTTTGCAAAAAAATGTTACCGAAACAGACACAGGATAACCTTTTCAGATCCAGACATCTTTTTATATCAAATCTTTTCCAGTGCCAAGCACACACAATCCAGCAACAACAATGGGGCAGTCACTATTTTGATACAGACCACTTCAGTCAAGGTATGCGTCAAGGGAGGCTTCATAGTTGGTACGCATGCACCGCTCAAGCTCACAAAATATCCATTGTCTTTGTACCCTAGCGTTGCTCGCGTAAATAGGGATTAGAGTATTTAAAAGCGTCAAGTTGGGTATGCCTTCTCCAGCGACATACTGCACACGGCATGGTAAGTGGAGAAATCATTCAAATAATGCTTTGGCCGCATGCACACACACACACAACAATTTAGTGCTTTTCATTTCATAGCAGAAGCACTTGCTGGTGTTCACTATTCGTTAAGTCACTTCGGTATGTCCTTTTCCTATCAAATCTATTTAAAAGGTGGCCATGACATGAACATATTTTAATAAATAATGTGGTGCGTACGCATAGTATCGATGCCGGGATGTCGGTTAATTACTGAGACATTAATTGTAGCACGTCCATGAAAAGAAAACAGCACCGGAGATACACAGGGCAGCGTGTGACTTTGAGCACTCCTTCAGCTGTCTAGAAGGAGTCCTTGTCAATGAAACATTCAAATGCACTCTTGCAGTGAGGGGTACAAATACTGTCCAAGCCACTGTGCAGTGGAAAGATAAGCCACACTATAATCACGAATTCTCGAGTTCGTGTGCTCATTTGTGTCTATCTCATGCTGCTTCTCCCACTTCAAGTCAGCATCAAGGTAAAGATGTGGTCTACTTGTAATTCAGATGCGAACTACGCATCTCTCGGTGTCTCTTCACTTTGCTTCTTAGCCATTGTACCTTCGTCGGG